CTTGCAGGGTTAAGATTCTGACTCCTCTGTTCTCATGAACAAATGCAATATTTTTTTTGTTAATTTCTTGGATTTTATATGTTTACCAAAAGCATCCCTTAACTTCCTGTCCCCGTTCTTTGTTCCTATACAGAAATAAATCCACCAATAACTGTTAGCCATTTTCCTGAGCATGCTCAGTTTTTCAACCAATTACCATTTCCTTTTGTTAATTCACTTAATTTTTTTTTCAGAGTGGAAAAAGCACTACCAAAATGCATCAAATATTACAAAGTGGTGAGAGAGAAATCTTTAAAGTGAAGTAGGACCATTTTACATCGTTTAAATATATGTATATCCATGATCGGTTCTGAGCTTTACCATCTGGGAAAGATACACATTTTAGGGTAAAATGAGGTTTAGAACGGTTAACAGACCTGCTCAAAAATCACAAAAAAAGGATCTCTGGCAAAGCCCAGATCACCAGAATAGACAACCAGTAGTCTTTGCACTGATAGATCATTTTCTTCCTAATCATCTTGTCTTTCTAGATTTTTCTGCTGGTGTTTCTCGGTTTAGAAACGTATGCTTTGGCCATAGCCAAGTCAAAAGTTACTGCAACAGAACTGTGGCCAGATTTGCATCTGTCCCACTAGGCTTATTTTTCTAAGGTGAGATATCTATCCCACCCAAAGGGATTCCGTCCCCACAGACCCTGACCAGGAGAAATTCATGTCTCAGGTAGCCCAGAAAAATCCAGAGTTCAATTGCCAAGCTTCTACATACCAGAAAGGTTTATAGTTTGGAGGAGACTATGAAAAGATGGAGTTTTCCTGGTATTTCCTGGCATTTCTTGGACGGATAACTGAATTAGGTGGGACAGGGAACTGGAGCCTTCTTACCTTCACAGTTGAGAGCCAGGAATAACCTGGCCATTTGTCTCTGGAAATCTGCTTCCAAAGAGGAAACTAAGTGATTAAGAACATGCAAAAACAGGAAGAAACTAGAGGCAGCGTGGCATTTGCTCCCCTCCCCCGCCCAGAAGGTCAATATCCAGACCTCACTCCTCCATTTCTATTCGGATTCTGGGGCTATTAGCATGTGTATGTGTGTTTAAGTATCTCCAGATTTGCTAATCAGATGTGACACCCACCCCCCCCCCGCCCCGTTTGTTCACACATGCCCTAATTAAAGATCTAAGAAGCACCCTGCTACCCTCTCAAAATGAACACACATGAAGTCCGTTCCTCTAAATGAGAATAAGCTTTACCCGACGTAGTCCTATCAATTTTTCTACCACTGTAATTACGAGTTGTAATTTCTGGAAAAGCAAGACAGCCACAGACCTGTTGGCCTGACTGACAGGTTATTTATACTGAGTGTTTCTTCAGACAAGGCACAGGCAGGACAAATGAAAGTGTTTAAAGGAAACAGATCTATAGGGAAAATAGTCACTCGCTTTTGCTTTTCTGCAGTGCTGGGCTAATTGTAAAAATGCAGAGGTAAAGGCCTCGCACTTGGCTACCTCTCTTTGAGGCTGGGAAGATGTTCCCCTGCTGGGCTTTTAAGAGCTCTCTGCAACTTCAGCACCATGGACTCAGCATTGCCCCAAGCTTTTCTGTAACTGGTTTTATTGCTTTAATTAACCAAGGTTAGGTGGGACAGATTTACTTCATGTCATTGTTGCCTGGCTAGCAGCAGCTCTTTACCTCTCGCCCTTGATGCCTGGCCTGCACAATTAGCACCTTATTATAGGTTGGCCTCACGTCTAATTACCACACTGGCTCAATTGGGCACTTTATTTCATTGTCTTGTTTATGCGCTAGTTCGAGTGCCTGGGCTCTCCAGCTAGAGTAAATCCTCAACTCCTTTTAGGCAGGTATGTTTTCAGTTTCCCATCTCTGAGTCCACAAGAACACCTAGACACTCACAGGCATGGAAACAAATACTTCCTGTTTGAAGAGCTTCTAGATGTCTATTCTGGGAGTAAGGCACATGGTTGGCATCTGGGTCTCCATGCCTCGCCCCATCATCAGTCCCAGATCCATCAACCTTCTCTGTTGTTGAGGGCTCTTCTCAGCTCCTCTGAGTTAAGCTCCACTTGGCCTGTATGTAACCTTTCCCCTTATCTAAAAGGGTTGGCTGAAACAGACATAGGAGCGTCCCCTCAGCACCACGTTCAACGTTCCTTTAGGATAAGGATTCAAGGGATGTGAATTTATGCTTGAATAGATTCCCTCCTTTTGGAATAAAAACTAACTACAGTCTACAGGGCAGTTAACAATTCCATAACAAACACAGGCCTCCTTCACCAAATACTTTGGCAAATGAAGTATAGTCTGGTGGGGAGACTGCATAAGGGATGGTTAGGAGGGCAAGTATGGGGGGGTTGGATTGCCTGGTCTCAAATCCCAGCTCTGGCACTTTTAGTCATGTGACCTGTGACCCTGATCAAGACAATCAACCTCTCTGCACCTCAGTTTCCCAGTCTGTAAAATAGGGTAATAGTACTTGCCTCATAGGGCTCTTGTGAGGACCAAATCAGTTAATCATTGTAAAGTGCTTTAGAACAGTGCTTGGCACCTAATAAACACTATGTTATGTTAATGTAAGTTAATGTTAAATAAAATTAACAGAGTACAGAGATTCAGAATGGACAGACCTACAAAACAATATGCCCTCCCCCCCCCCCAAGAATCTGACAATGATGGAAAAACATGCCGGTTTTATAGACTAAGGTGTTATTCTTGGCTTCTTGATTTTTCTGGCTAACACGCATTCTTTGACTTGCTTTAATAACCAAAAAAGAACTCTGAATTTATGAGTTTTAAAAATTATCACAACAAACATGATAAAAAATGTTCCGGCAGCACTGAAATATAACAGTTAGTGAAGGTGTCATTGTTTTAGTAGAGAATTTAAAATAAACATTTTACTGTTTATACCTCTCAGACCTACTTAGCCTAACATGTCAGACATCATTCATAATATTATTTAGCAAATACTGCCAACTCTTCTCCAGCAAGGAACCTTTAGTCAATTGCCAAGGGAATGGTTCAAATAGATGTTCTATATTTTCGAAGACATATTGAAAGATCTTTATATAAAGATGACTCCATGGTATCCAACCCAAATTCTTCTGTCTTTTCTGATCTGTCCATTTGCTGCCACTTTTTAAATCCTCAATCCTCTTAGATATCCTAGCTACTAAAGTTCCATGTTCATGGTCTCTACTTTCTGAGTAATCTCTAGAACAAAATATCATTTCTACCATCAGCAGTCCCTTGTTATCTCATCACAAAGCTCCTCACATAGAAACCAGGTGTCCAACCACACAGAGTCCTATGTACCACAACGGGTGGGGCACCTGTGCTTTCATTCGGAAGAAAAGCCTTCCGGCTTCACCTCTCCCAGTTTCCCTAGAGGGCAAAGTCCAACCCTCTAGGATGTCTTCCCTGTACGTACACCTATAAGAGAACTATGGAGACAAGAAACAACTGATGTCCAGTCTACTAGGAAGTGATCACTTATTTTGGAACTCAGCAGCTTACAGCTTAAGAATATGGGCAGGTACTTCTTCCCTGTACCCTCCTCTGGCCCACCTCCCTAATCCCACTATGTTCATGGTGCCATCATCATAGTTCTTTTTTTATTTTTATTTTTTTAAGATTTTATTTATTTATTTGACAGAGAGAGACACAGCGAGAGAGGGAACACAAGCAGGGGGAGTGGGAGAGGGAGAAGCAGGCTCCCCGCCGAGCAGGGAGCCCGATGCGGGACTCGATCCCAGGACCCTGGGATCATGACCTGAGCTGAAGGCAGTCGCTTAACCAACTGAGCCACCCAGGCGCCCCCATCATCATAGTTCTTAACCATGTTCTGTGGTTACGTTGACCCTAGAGCCTTTCCCTCTGCCTGTGAAGTTTCTCTGGGCAGAAGTTGTGTTTTATTTGTTTTAGTGTTCCAAAGTTGGCACAAAGCCCATCCATGTAAGCTCTCAATAGTTACCTATGAGACAGTGTCGAAGCTACTGGCTGAGAAATACATTCTTTAGATGATCAAGTTGTCAAGGGTTACTGTATTTTCACTTTTGAGAACGGGGAGGCTTCTTAAAAGAGGGACATTTGGAAAAGTCATCAGATCCCCTTCCTTCAATCACTTTGGGTTAACTTTCCCCCATTTACCCACATGACCTCTTTAAAATCTGTACCATACCCTATCTTGCCTCACCTTAATGGGCTCCTTCAGTGACCCTATATTCACCTTGCAGGTATCCATTCTGGATATCCAAGGCCCTACTCCCACTTGGCCACCGCCAGGGCTGGCTCCCCGCCCCCCCCCCCCCCCCCAGCTGTCTATAGCTCCCAGCGACCACACCATCAAGCCGAGGCTTCCAGCCATCGCTGGGAAGGGCTGGGGACCCTGGGCACTGTGCCCCTCGCCAGCGCCAGTTACCAAGACTCTGCCCCCTCCTCTCTTTGGGACAAAGCTCCAGCGACCACCTGGGGCAAGGGGGATCCTGCAAGGTTCTGGGTCAGCGTCTGGTCAGCCCCAGAGAGAGGGGGCACAGGTGGAATCCTTGGGGTGGAGTGAGGACGCCTCGGGATTAGTGGGCACTCACTCCCGGCCGGGACCTTTCCCACCGAGAACGAACTAAAGAGGGCTTCACCGCCTCTTCTTTTCAACCACCCTAGGGACTAGGGAAATGCGGGACGGAGGGCGGGGGGTGGGGGGAAGAGGGGAGGAGAGCAAGGAGACAGCCCCTCAGGCCAATCATGACGTCCGCCTCCCCTAGCTCGGGGTCGGTCTCTCTTTCAGATCTCTCTCTCTCTTACACACACACACACACACACACACACTCTCTCTCTCTCTCTCTCTCTGCTACTTCAACTCCAGCTCTGAGCAAACTGCGACGCGCGCCTCTCCCCCTGCAAGTCCTAAGCTCCGGCCCCGGCCCCGGCCCGCGCCTCTGGCCTCACCCCAGCCTTTTCACTCAACCCCAGTTCCCCCACCCAACTGACCGTGAAGCCGGAGGCAGTTCCCCAGTCCCAGGCCCCCGGTGGGGCTCCCGCCGTCGCCGCCGCCGCCGTCGCCTCCCCCTGCAGCCCCCGACCCGGGACCCGACCTCGGGCTGCAGCGATGGCTCCCCGGCACGAGGCGCCGCGGCTTCCCGGACTCGTCCAGACACGGGGCGGCGCGCAGGAGAAGCCCATCGAGCTGCCGGCGGTGGCGGCAGCGGCGGTGGCTGCAGGAGCGGCCGCCGCGCAGGCTGATGACGAACGGGCGCGGGGGCGGGGGGGCGCGGTCGGCGCGGGGGCGACGCGAGAAGATGACGTACGACGAGCGGGGCGGCTCGGCAGCATGGCGTCCGTGGCGCTGAGTGAGGCGGAGAAGGTGTATATCGTGCACGGCGTTCAGGTAGCTACGCCGCGGCGTCAGCCACCGGGTTTCCCCTGGCGCTGCGGGTGGCGGCGCGCCCTCGCTTCGCTCGGGAGGAGGCGGCCAGGCGACGTGCTGGGTTTACCTGGTGATTAGACAGCACTGCGGCCGGCGTTTGCCGCACGAAGCCGGCAACGCGTGTGTATTTAGGACCTCACGACGAGGGTCCACTTAGGACTGTGTGCGTGCTTGAAGCCTTCCGCGTCTACAAGGTTCCAAACCTGGGTGGGAAGGCGGTCCCTGAGGCCTCTTCTTAGCGAAGGAGCACCGCCCCCAGGGCCGTCTCTTCAGCCTTCGGGAGTCGCATCACTGGGCTGAGGCTCGCTTTTCTCAGCTAGGAAACGGGGGTTGGCGGTAGGCATCTGGCCCGCTCTTCCTTACCTCGTGGTTGGGAAGCACAGGGAGAGAAGGCAGTGAGGTGAAAGCGCTTTGAAAATATAAATTTCCTTACAAATAAACGGGGAAGAATGTTTAAAAAGCGGCTCTACGGCCAGTGGCACTTAGTTCTAAGATCCTCCCTCAGAGGCAGCTGTAACTGTGTTTAGATCTTCTGTGGTCAGTTTTCAGTCCTTGGAGTCAAGACCACTCCAGAGCGAGAGTTGGAGAATGTTGGGTGTAATGAGCTACCAAGGAAAGCCAAGTGTGGCCTTCTTGTTTGTAACCTACCCAGGTTAGAGACATCCCCAGACGTCTCGGTAAAGCCTAATGAGAATCCTGAACTTGGCTGTAGAGATCTAATCATCTTGCGTTTTACTTTTCACATTCAGTCCAGTATGGTCAAATTCAGCTTCTGGCGTCCCCTTTCCGTCAGCCATTGTTTCCTTTATTATTTCAAAGATGAATAAAGTAAAGGCAACGGAATATAACATATATGCTAAGGGAGTGGTATGGTTAGTGGAGGTCAAAGGAGCTATACAATATTGGGGGCTGTGATGCTCTGAAGGCTTCCCTAAGGAGGCGGAATTGCTTCCTTAAATCCATGTCGTGTCCTTCCTGTGTATATTTTCAGGACTCCATATTCATTCATTCAACCTAGAACTAAGCTAAACTCAAGGGATGGGAAGGAGGCTGCCCTTATATAGCTCCCATGCTAGAAGGAAGAGACAAATTACAGATCTATTTGTGTGTTTGTATGTAAAATTGTACTGATAGCTGTGAAGGAAAAAAAATCAGGGACCTGGTCTAGTCCAGGAAGTCAGAGTAGGCTTCCCTAAGGAAATAGTATTTGAAATGAGCTCTCAGCATGCTTAAGAATTAAGTAGGCTTGGGGCGCCTGGGTGGCTCAGTTGGTTAAGCGACTGCCTTCGGCTCAGGTCATGATCCTGGAGTCCCGGGATCGAGTCCCATATCACGCTCCTTGCTCAGCAGGGGGTCTGCTTCTCCCTCTGACCCTCCCCCCTCTCATGTGCTCTCTCTCTCTCAAATAAATAAATAAAATCTTTAAAAAAAAAAAAAAGAATTAAGTAGGCTTGAGCCTTCCAGGAGGAAGACATAGCGAATCTGCAGGCTCTCGGAGGAAGTGTGGAGCCAGAAGGGTGGGCTGGGGGTAGTGGTGGAAGATCAGGTTGTGGAGGTGGCTAGAAGCCTGATCTTAGGGGGTTTAGATGCTCAGACACTCCTTCCTCATGGATCTTGGGAGGTAATAATCTGTTATTTGGTACCTTTAAAACCTAGCCAGTGTCCAGCGCTGAGTAGGTACTCAATGACATTGAGTAAGGTAGGTCTTAAAAGGGAGATCAGTTGGACACTTTTCATTTTTAAAGTTAAACCTCGGTCTTACCAGTACCATGAACCTAATATTAGGGCCACAGTTGTTGGTAAATGTTTTGCTCTGTGTATCATGGAGCCATGCAGAGTAACTGACTTTAAATAAATCTCTTCAGAAGGACTATTAGTGTTGGCTACAAATTTGCTCTATTTATGGAGGAGGGAAACAGAATTGACACCATCTGAATAAAGGTCAGAAGGCAGGTGATTAAGCCTCCCATGGGATCTCCACTGACTCAGTTCTAAAATCACCTCAACTTTTGTTTTGTTGGTCTTTGAGTGCGGGCAGTGCACCTTATACAGTACCTAACCAGAATCCTGTTCTTGCCTGTATCTGTAGACCTACTTGTGGTTTTTTTGTTTGTTTGTTTGTTTTACTTTTCACCTTTGGTCCAGTATGGTCAGTTTTAGCTTCTGTCATCCCTTTTCTTTCAGCCTTTGATTCCTTTACTATTTCAGGGATATTTCATCTTGGTTTGGTGGTAGTTAGAAACAGTTGAAATTATTATTTTTTAAAGATTTTATTTATTTGTCAGAGGGAGAGAGCAAGAGAGAGAGGGAGCGCGCACACAAGCAGGGGGAGCGCGGCAGGCAGAGGGAGAAGCAGGCTCCCCACCGAGCAAGGAGCCTGATGCGGGACTCAATCCCAGTCCCCTGGGATCATGACCTGAGCCAAAGGCAGACACTTAACTGAGCCACCAAGGCATCCCAGAAGCAGTTGAAATTAACCTCACAGTGTATGTTGAGGACTCAGTTGCTAGGAATGGTAACCAACAAACTTGCTCAAGCAAAAAAAGTATGCTTTAGAAGGTTACGAGTGTTATTCCAGGAATTCAGGGTTGTCTTCAGGCTCTCCCTTGCTCATCTCTGCTGCTTTTTATGCCTCTGTTTATTCTTACCTCTCTTCAGACTGGTCTTCTGTTTCTCAGGCCATGTAGTAGGAAGAATGTGGCTACCTCTCAGCTCCTGGGATTACAGTTCCTCTGTATATAAGAAGCGATCCCTTCTAGTTCAGTTCCAACGTCATGTTTCCAGGGAGTAAAATCTCTTTGCTTCAGCTTGGGTCAGGTGAAAGGATGGACAGAATCATTAGGCTTAAAAATGGCCACTGGGAGGATGGGGTACACTTGAGAGAAAGCAGTTTGTGAGCAAGGAGGATGAATCGTATCAGGTCCTGAGAGAGTATGGAATCCCATTCAGATAATTCAGGGGACTTATATGATGTGACTATTTATAGTGGTGTGGGTGGCTTTCAGGGAACCTACAAGAGATACTGAGGAGCCCAAAGACTAGCAACCACAGGGAGTAGCTGTTACCCTTAGGCTGAAGGGGCCAAGGGAGGCAGTTGTGTTACCAGATGCCAGTGATAGCTAGAACTGTGGAGGAAGAGCTACTCAACAGAAATTGTAGGCTTGGCCAGATGAAAGCACTGTCAGAAATGTGACCCAGCTAGGGGTGATAGGGATGGGGGGCGGGGAGCAAGTCCCGAGGCAGCTCCAGGCCTCTGCTTGTGGACCTTTCATTGGCCAAACCCAACCACAAGCCAGTAAAGGGAGTCCAGGTGATGCAGTTTGGAAGGAGTTAACCTGGTGCACAGATGAGGCCAGAGAAGGATAGAGAAGGGATCTAAGGGAGTGGGACAGGATAAATGGAAAAGTTGATCAGTCAGTATTCTTAGTAATATGATTGGATTGGTTTCTCTTAGGTTCCCTGTTACCCTTTGAAGCCTGAAATGTCCCACTCTGGTCAGGTACATATTATAATTTTTATGTTACTGAATCTTTGAAACCGGCTTGAAGGTGAGTATTAATTATTTCTATGTTAACAGATGAAGAACTGAGCTCAGACAGGGTCAAAGGTCACACAGAAAGTACGTGATGGAGCAGGGACAGAAATCCAGATCTGTGTGATTGCAGAGCACATACTTGACTTTCATGCAGTTCTCCTACTGCAGTGAAAGCCATTGTCTTCTCGTCCTTAAATAGGGTTCCCAAACCAAAGGCCAGAGAGAATCCCCATTTCTACTTCTCTCTCTTTCTCTTTCCATCTGGAAGCATGTGAGCAAACAGGAAGGAAGAGGGGACGTTCTAGAAGTTCTGGACACTGCTCCGCCCCACACCATTTTTCTAGACTTTAAATAGTGCATGATATATACTGTATTGTTATCTTTTTAAATAGTATTTTCCCCACTTTTGTTATAAGTTCCTTTAGAGCCCTATTTGCCTTTCTTTGTACAGCTTTTGTTTTACCAACTTGTATACCAACTCCTATCTCAAACTCTTTTTTTCTCTATTTGCCATATTCAGGAATTGTGGGGGGCAGATTTTAGAATTTGCAGAATCTAAGATTTACCCTCTTTCGAGTTTGAGTAACTGGCTAGATGTGCGTTTTCTTCATGAGGAGACACAGCTAACCTCCATCTCAGCCCAGTGATTCTGAAGTCTTGAAGTACCTTTTATTCACCCGCAAAGTGCAGATTCCCAGGCTTTACCCGGACCTTCTGAATCTGTACCTTTGGGGCTGGAGCCTGGGAGTTGGATATTTTCATAAAGTGTTGGGAGATTTTCATACCGACAGCAGACATCTATGGGCAGACCACCGGCCTGGTCCAGCTGAGTCTGCTGTGGAGTCTCTGCTCCTGCCTGCCTGAGGTCACGTGGTCTCCCGCTGTGTTCTGTTCACAGGAGGAGTTGGGAGCCCGAATGGGCAGGGCTTCTTTCCCAGCTGCACCATTTACAGTGAGAACAATTGTACCTGAGTTTCGGAGCTAGCTCCCTCTGATAAAATGAGACTGTATCCATCTGGAGGGCAGAATGGGGTTGTGAGGAATGATGAGATGGGGAAATATAGAGTGCCTGGCATGTGGTCAACCGTGAAGAGATGTTGGCTCCTTTTCAAGCTTGTTTTTTCCATCAGAAGTATGGCTTTGTGCTGAACCATGCACACTGTATTCCCAACCTTCACAGTGACCCCACCAGGGGTTCAGCCTGGGGCTGTTGAGGGCTAAAGATTATTAAATTATCTCGAGAAAAAGCCGATTTGTGGCAAGGGCTAGAAAGTCCTGAGGCAGCTCCAGGGCACCGCATCTCATGGGCTCCACTGTGGATCCTGTGGTCCATGTGACGGTCTGCTTGTCTTTATGTCTGTGGTGACACCTCCACTTCTCTCTCCTGCAGTGTATCTCTTCTCTGCAGCACTTGCTGTCCAGCTTC